CCGCATGATGGACCCATTGCGTCGTCATGCCTTCCACGTCTGCCAAAAACTTCAGACCCTTGTACATACCCTCTGCGATGGTCCGCAGATTCTGCGCCATATCCTGCCAAGGCTTGCTCGGCGTGCAGCTTTCGTGTCAAGGATGCCCCAAGGTCAAAACATGTCGAAAACGTGAGTTGAACTGGTCTTCAGCTAGGAAGCCACGTTCCAAGTTGGTTGCAAGCTTCAAGCATCCGTTGCTCAACTTGGAGTATCTGCTTGCCGTGCTTTGGGCCGGGGACATCTCCCACCGGGTGAGTCTCTATTTTTACACTAGGGTTTGACAATTTGTCATCGGTCAGCACCATCTGCGCCTGAACTTCGCTTTGCTGGGTCCACCATTTGTTCAAGTCCTTCTTTCCAGCATATTCCAGGACCAAATAGAAGGGCATTGTGTCCTGTGCGCGCTCTGGCGTGCCCTGCATACTTGTCAGCTACCTTCCGCCACGCGAACCAGGGGATCAATCTTGGCGTGGCAAATGTTTACCTCTCAGCGATTCTCAGTTCATGGATTGCAATAGACAGATGGCGCAGCGTGAGCGCCTGGACACGTTGACTGCCAAGAGAGTTCGGACAGCTCCACCATGGGCTCAAAGGCCAGCTTTGCCAAGTCAAGCACTCGTACAAGGCATCCCCTCCTCCGTCAGAGGGTCTTTCATCCGTGCGGAGATGCCATCCTCCAAGCACTTCACCATGTGACGGCTGCCTTCTGGGTACAAGGCCGCGGTGGTCTGGATTTCCATGGCGTCGATGCACTCCGTCCTGCAGTGGCCCGGTTGCAACAAGCGAGACCGTGCCGCATGTGAAGCACGCTTACAGTGATTGAGTTTTTGAAGAAGTTATCACTTGCAAGTCTTGCGGGAGGAAGGCAGACAGGAAATTGGAAAAGGAGGAAAACAGGAGAACGCAGGAAAGGGCAGGAAGGGAGGAAGAAAGTGAGGAGTAATGAAACATGCTAAACTCAACAGAAATAATTCTAAGGGTGCCAATCATACGAGGCATGGTCAACATGTTGTGCGTCCCCGACTGACGTTGCGAGTGATCTGATGGAAGAATGGACCACTTCTCAAAGCTTGGGACTAGTAAGGCCTTCTAGACTTCTGCAAGCATCGCATTCGAGATTTGCTAACGTGTGAACTTCCCGCTGGCTGCCCGGCCTGCTCGACTCGGCGAAGTTCTTGACTTCCGCAGGCCCAGACTTGTAGACGCTGGGCGTCAGCCATGCCTCAAAGCAAAACGTTGCTTGTGAGCTGAAAGGGGCAGGTTCAATGTCCTTTTGCGGGCGCACCACTTCCCTGGTCTTTGGAGCGTGCGGTGCAGACAAAGACTGCTCACTGCGGCTGGAAAACACTCCGCCCCTCCAAGAACTGGACAGCGTAGGTCATTGAAACTCATTGAGTCTTGATCAAAACCCATTTGTGCTAAAGTGGACCCAAAAACGTGCAAAGAGTCAAAAGTCCGGGCCGCACCTATTGCTTGGGACTGCCCCCTGGCACACCGGCTTTTCAGACGATGGCGCACAAGCGCAGGCCGCTAATCCAAAAATTGCGGCCAAAGGGCTGAGCCCACTTTCAGAACCTTCACAGCAACCTCCCAGGTTCTGATCACAGTCCCCTTTCTCTCATATTCTTGCCGGAAGTTGCAGTGTCATGTGTGTGTGTGTGACATCATGAAGTAGAACTCTTCTTGAAACACGGCTTGCGATCGGTTGTGGAAGAAGCGGCAGCATGAGCCAAACCAACGTATCCTGCCTTAGCTCTGCTCACCTTGTCCACAGCCAGGAATGTGACTGCAAAGGATCCCTGTCCAAGTTCCTCTGGGTCCTGCATTGAAACTGTGCCATCAAACACAGCTACATGGGTCAGATGGTGATGTTACATGCCCTCCCACCAATTAACATGGAACCTGACAGAGGGTCCCTTTAAAAGGAGAAATGGCCTTCCACATGTTAATTGGTTCAGACGCGCAATTTCCCATCGGACAGGCAGAACATCGAATCAGTATTGGCACTGGAGAGACTTGAGCAAGTCTCTGGAGCCACGAAACACTTCGGGGGTCGTTCTGTTTTCCGTTGTACTTGCGCTGCTAACATTTCTCTCCGCGCTATTTGGCTTGCTCAAATACAGTCCCTTTCACAACCAGTGGCAACAGAAAGCTCAAACCTGGAAGTGACAGCACTCCGATTTGAATCGATGCATATTTCCAAGATATCTGCCGGCACCTTGCACCCAGCGCAAGTGTCCAATGAGCTTGCCTGATTTGGGTGCCGATTTCGCCAGTTGGTGGAAATCTTGAGACCTCGAGGATGGAAAACACTAGACACACCCAGAAGACTTTCTGCGCATCCCAGAAGGGGCACTCATGGCAACGCTGAACTTGGAACCCTACAAGACGTCTTGACGGTGTCCTCGTACTTGTTCTTCATCTCCTGCAAATGACGATGTGCGGATCAAATTCTATGTCCAAGCCTTCCTTGTTTTGCAACAAGCTGACTGATTCAAATTGTTCTTCCTCATTCTGTTCTTTCCAGACCTGTGGTTTTTCATGGGATTAGGACCATGCGTTTGGGTAGCTTATTTTGTAGTGAGCCCTCCCCAAAGCAAAGGGAGAAACCAAACATGCCCAGTGAGAACAAGGGAAAAATGGGCCGCGATCCATTGGAGGTCTGGGAAATGGCGGTCCTCTGGGAAGTCCATTGCCAGCGGAAGAGTCCCTCGGAGGAGGTCCGGGAGGGAAGTGACTGCCAGGTGGGCCAGGTCCCACATAGGAAGACCTCGGATCCAAAGCCGTTGCCAGCACCCAAAGCGCGCGAAGAAACACCTTCTGGCCTCTTCAGGAGCAGCAAATTATTGCCTGGAGGCACAAACCAACAGCCAGTTTGGTTCAAAAGCTTGGATTCTTTCCAGGTGAGTTGAAAGGGAAAGCCGAGTGAGGTATGTTTTTGCCCAATGGCCAACGCCAACCGTTGTTCGCCGTTCTCAGGGAGAAAACGAAAGACCCCCCCACCCCCAATCATCTTCTTTGAAGGGGCTTTTAGAAGGGTTCTCAGAACGGTTCTGGTGGGTAGGGGGACCATGACGCGGAGTTCTATCGCCTTTCTCCAATTCCGTTCCAGATCTGGGCCCACAAGCAGGGACGATGACGACTTCAGGCTGGAGAGAAACCAACAATCATTGATGCCATGGGCAAAGCTTCCTGTTAGCCAAGGTTTTGGGGTGCTTAACAGGATTCCTTATCATGGTTGTCAGAATTCATACAAAGGGGTCCATGACGATCTCTACTAACCCCAAGAAAAAGAAAAAGAAAAAAAGAGTGTCCATGGCACAGTTGGGCGTGTTGATTGTTTAGCTTGCAAGACTCCCAAAAACAGCAAAACCTCGTGCTCGAGCTGCGGGGCCACACAAAGGGCAACCCGGCCCGCGTCGCTGTTTGTGGGGCTTCCCACAAGCCTCTTGTGACTCTTGTAGAAAGACCAAGCCCTGGCTTCTGCTTTGATCGTACTCGAACCTGACTCGCATCCCTTTTCTTGCGAATGAGCGAAACGAGTAGAGGCCCCACGAAAAGACTTGCCATCCCATGGCTTCACGACAACCTCCATAAGCTTGCTCAAATGACCGCCTTGAATTCTGAGCAAAGACATGCTGAAGGGCAATTTCTCTACGATTGACTGCTTTAGCTTCGCCTTCTCACCTGCAAGTGAGTCACAATCAAAACCTAGTACCATATTCAGAAGGGGCCCGCGCCTGTTTATGGCTGGAACGTCCCAGGCCGGAACGTCCGTTTCCACCCCAGCCGGACCCGAGAAACATGTTGCCGCTCAATGCTGCACAGCTTCCAGCCGCGGCCAGTCTCCTGGAGAAGATCGTCTCAGATGCCTCAGGCCGGAAGCCTGAGCCATGCTTCGTCACACTGAGGATCTCCTGCAACTCGAAGCGCGCGTGGAAAGCTTCGCCTCAAACGGGGCAACAAAGCTGGGGATATGGATGGCCTTTCAACATTTAGTCCCTTGGTTCAAACGTACCCTTTTGGGGATGTGCTGGGAAACCAAAGGGGAAAGCCCATTTTGCGGATCCCCCCTTACCCGTTCGCCCAAGCTTCAGCCAGTCTTCTGCCGTTCAAGCCTATGCCGAGAGGCCAGGGGGCTTCAGGTGCTCTGCAAGTCCTGCCGCAATCAGCAGGACTATCTCATGTCCAAGGACTTCCGCCGTTGCTTCTGGGCAACAAGCGCACGACAAATCAATGCACGCATCATCCATGTGCAATGTGGAAAACGGGTCATGGTGCGCATGGTCGCAAAAATAATAATTAAAAATGCTGAAACTGTTCTGTACCGTGATTTCATGATTCGGCTTCCTCGGCAGCGCTGCTTCTGCCACAACCTTGCCAAAACCGCTGCGACCGCGATGCCTTGAAAGCACGCCCACCAGCTACTGAGTTACTAGGTAGTGGCCGCAGGCTCGCGTCGGAAGCGAGAAGATATCCTGCAAGAATCTTGCAGAGTCTGCGCCTGGATGGCTCTCAATGAACTGAAACAAGGGGCCTCCATCGTACGATGCATCGGCAATGGCCCAGTCCTTCACTCCACCTATGGCCTGTGGCTCTCTCAATCAAATGACCCCCACAACCCTTCGGTCCTTCTGCGCCCGCGGCAAGCGTCCAAAATAGCAGCCGGGCAAGGCCCATGCTCGCGAAAGCCAAAGTGGCACACCCCTTCTTGGGCCAACACGGCACCCCTAGACAAACCCCACAAATTGCCATGTGTTGAACCAGAAAACCCTCGAAATCAGCTTGTGAAAGTAACATTCATGCAAGAATCGCAAAGGGATTTCAGTGCACTCCCTCACCCTTCCAACGACATACTGGGCAAATCGAGCCATCAAGATGCCGATACCCGAGCGGCTCACTCACCGCCCTCAAAGGAGGCTGGCTGACAACAAGCTTCAGCAACCTAAGCCGGGCACTGTCCTCGAAATGGCCAGCTGATCGCTGACCGACTTCACACGCTCGATCTCACTCGAGATCCTGGCAATATTGCAGGCTGGCATTTGCCTTCCCTCCCACAAGGACCTTGGGAAAAAAGACCGGCATGGTAGCCTGTGTGAACTCCTTCAACAATTCAGCAACCTGAAAGTTTCAATACAGCTACTTTGTGGGTACTCGTCGTTTTACCTCCTGGTATCTCGAAATCGCCCACAAGGAGCACCACACCAATCCTAGAGGTCCCTAAATGGACTCACAAAGGGGGTCCTGAAAATAGTTCCTTTTGGTTTCCCTTTGCATCCCAACCAAAAAGGGTTTCGAACACAGGTGTCCTTTTTTGGAAAATAGATGGACCTGGTAGTTGATTGAACCACCAGGCCAACCAGGGCCCTCTATTTCTCGACCAAATCAGCCAAAAAGGACACCAAAAAGGGCTTCGAATCCCAGCAACTCGCTGGGATGGCCAAATTTGCCCAGAGGCGCAGAAGTCCAAAGGCGAGCTGACGCCGAAGCCCAGCGCGTCAGAGCCTCGGGCATATGCTCCGGATCCAGTTTCGCGCAAGCCCAGAAAGTCGCAAGTCGGGCATCTCTCGCCAGTGTTCGAAGCCCGTCTCTGATTGTGTGGTAGCTTGGAACGAAGTTGGGTGCTGATCAAACCGGTCAGCTCTCCTCTGGCTCTTGGGATCCGGCCGCCAAGGTTGCTTCGGGCCTGCCAAAGGTCAGACGCTGAGTGTTAGAACTTAATACATGAAGACCTAGTACAAACCCAAAGACCCTCCCTCTAACATACATGGAACCCAGAGGGTCCCGTTTAGAGGAAAATGGTAGCCAGGAACCCCCCGTCAGGTTGCAAGCCAGTCGGGGATGGAGGTCGGCTCTCACATTTGGAGCGGCGAATTGCGTCGAGGGACTAGCGACGGGCTTCGCACTCTGAGAGAAGCGAACGTCCCCAGGTCCACTGTCCGCACAAATAACACTCTAAGATGATTTCCACAAGCACGAAAGCACAAAGTCACCTCCCCCCAAGAAAAAACACACACACACACACAGAGGTTTTACCGTTTATAAAGTGGCGATATACTGGTTGCATAACCCAAGTTGTGTTGGTGTAGTGGACACCATCTTAGAAACATCATCGCAATATGTCTCTGTGTGTATGCATCAATGTGTATACAGCACAGGGCAACCCAGAAGTCGCACCCTGTGCCAGCGTGTCTCGCCATGGAACGGGCCAAGGTACCTTGGAACTTGGACCCTGGCAGTCTCAGACTGGCAAGGTGATAGCTACATTGAGGTGTCATACGGATGAGCCAGCCACCGCCTCCATGAAACAAAACATATCCACGGAACCACACAGCAGTGGCAGCGTAAGGAAAAAGATCACATTTCGGTCAGAACAAAGGGCCATTGAGTGAACATTGTGTGATTTGATGTTTGCCTTTGCTAGCACGGAAAGGCGGACAAGCAAAGGTTCTGCAATTCCTTTGACCTCGGATGGATGCCCATTGACTTAATTACCCTCCCAATAAAAGCAAACATGGAACGTGGAGGTTGCCAGGAAACCTCCATGGGGCAACACATTCGATAGTCGAAAATAGGAAAAGCAACAGTCACCGCAGGGGGAGTCCCCATCAGTCACAAGGCTCGAAGAGTGTTTCAACATTAACCACATATCTTATTAAACAAACTCCTTTGGGCTCCGCTTGAAAGATGCCCAGGGTCTAGTTTCAACAAACTTTGCCCAACCCTGTGCTCCAAATACCGTTTTTTCTTCCAAAAATTCGGGTGCTGAAAACAGGGAAGGGATTGCTCAACGACAACAAGGCCCGTCCGATACGGGGGACGGAGACGGTGGCTGTGTTTTATAGGGCGCAGTATCCTTTCTTGGGGTTGTTTTGAAGGGAAACCAAAAAGGGAGCTACTTGTCTTTATCCCTTATGACCAGTGAACATCCCAAACCTTTCGAAGCCGCAACCCCCCCCTTTGGGCCAAATAGGTGGGAAGCTTCCCGAAAGCCTTGGGGAAGCTTCAGGAAGCCTTGCGGAAGCTTCCGGAAGCCTTAGGGAAGCTTCGGGAAAGAGGGGGGGGACCAGGGTGGTCCCCCCCTCCCCCCCCTTTTTCCCGAAGCTTCCGGAAGCTTCCCCAAGGCTTCAGGAAGCTTCCGCAAGGCTTCCGGAAGCTTCCCGAAGCTTCCGGAAGCCTTGCAGAAGCCTTGCGGAAGACTTACGGACTTCTGAAGCTTCGGGGGAGCGGACGGGAAGGGCAGGGGACGGGGAAGGAAGGGTGCGAGGGGGACGAGCATGAGCGTAGTGGTGGGTGTCATTTTCCAGGGCTTGTCGCGCCGCCAGTCAGTGGGGAACGCTTTGGGAGCCAAATACGTTAACAGTGTTATAACACTCCAATAGCAGTGCTATAGCATGTCTCAAGGGGGGGGGGTAAGGGAGGGGGGGGGTTATGTTTTCTTAAAAACCCACTAAAATGGACTAAAATGGGTGGTGCATCCCAACATGGTACCATGTTGAACCATGGCCAATCTGTTGGTCTGGTGGGTTTGGTGGGTTTGGTGGGAACCAAAAAAACTCGGTCCAGCCTCGCTGGCCGCCTGCGCTTCGGCCAGCGCCTGCCGCAGCTTCCTCAGCTGCCGCCGCAGCTCCCGGCGGCGCGAGAGGCCCTCGAGTATCCTGAGAGCGTCACCCCAATGTGCCACAACCATGCAATGGTTTTTTGCTTTTGGAGTTTGTGTGTGTTTTGGGGGGAGGCCACAACCACGTCTTTTTGCTTTTGGAGTTTGTGTGTGTGTGTTTTTTTGTGGGGAGGTTCAGTGCCCGCCTTTTGCCTTGGGTCAAAAGGGACAGCTAAAGCGAAACCACGATTTTGGGGGACTCTGACGCATGCCCATCGTTGCTGCTTCAAGACTATCTGGATGCGCACTGAACATGTCAATTTGCAGTCGTTGCAAATCCAAAGCACGAGGCAAAAATTGGATCCCCGGGTAGAGAACCTACATCGTGGTCAGTTTACCCCCCGAATCGGCGAGCTTGCCGTAAAATAGGTATAAACCATAGAGCCATAGACTGTACATGTTGATGGTAATTTGGTAAGTGCCCCCACCATACCCCGAGCAGTGATGGATGGCAAATATTGGTAGTTGCTCGTATTAACGTTGACTGTTGCAAACAGGGGGCCAGCTCAAGAAAGCCGAGTCACTCAGACGCGTCCGTCAAGGTACTGTTCAGCACTGAGCGAGTGCTGATGTCACCTGCATCCAAGATTCTCAAAGACATTCCAATAGGCAAGTCTTATCAACTAAGGCAAGCAAGAGGCAGTTCACAGCATAAACTGTAAGTGAAAGAGCTGTCCACCGAGGCGAACAAAAAAGGTGTTCACGCTCTTATCCCACACTCAAATGTGTTGAATTCAAAGCTGCGGTCTTCTTAAAAAGTTGTGTGCTCTAGGTGGGGCCGCAAAATTGGAACCTCGCAAGCGGCCGCTGTGTAAGCATGCGCGCCTGAGAGCTCATAAGCATGCAGCATGTGCAAGCCAGCAAACAAGAAAGTAGAAAGGCTGGAAAAAGGGCAGGGAGGGAAGGAAGAAAAGGAAACAAGCAGGAGCAAAAGATGCATGCATGCAGCAGATAGGGCTGGCAAAAACACTATGGACAAAAGGGCCTGGAGGGTAAGCAGTCATGCAACCACCTCGGCCTTGCGCTTCCACTTGCGAAACACTTGCGCCTAAGTTGCGAGAAACCTTACGAGTCAACATAGCAAAACACGTGTATGTCTGTGGAGCAACCAACAACCCCCCACAAACTTGAAAGGCACTGATTCCGGCGCTGATGCTTCGAGCCACCAAACTGTTTGTGGGCCGGCCTGACTTTCCAAAAAGCCGCGCCAACTCAGGATGGCGCCGCCAGTTCAGCGACCTCACAAAACATGCCGAGCTGCAGAAACAACACTTCCGTGGGTGTTACTAAGTCACAGTGCAGTCTGCAGCACTCCTTGCACTTTTACCCCGAGACCGCGAGGGTGGCAAAATTAACCCAAAGCAGGGCGGGCAGGGCAGCAAACACAGCGTGTTGGCTGTGTCTGCTTCCTGCCGGCCCCAGTCCCGGATTAAGGGTATTCACAAACCCCAGGTTCCACGTGAGTCCTCTTCAAAAGAATGATCAGTCGGGGGCGCCTCTCCCCCCCCGGCAACAGTGGTCCAGGGGAGGGTTTGTAGTTGGAAGTCCTGCATGTGGCCAGGAGGTCCGGTAGCAGGATCCAGGAGGGTGTGAAGCCTAAAATCATAGACAAGGCCAACTTGGCCAGGAAGCGGACTAGTTGACCCGGTTTGCTCCAGTAACACTGGGCAGATGCAACCCCCATCGGTGCCGACCATGTTGACCCAGAATAGGTTCTTGATCGTCGTTATCATGTATGATGGTGGCGTCAAAGATTTGTCTGCCTCCTGGATCGCGGCCATGGCCCCCACACAAGGTCTTCCAGTCTACATTCGCAGACTTTGGCGGCCTCTTCCTTGGAGAAAGGGCCGAGATGCCCATGTCCCGCTCTTCTTTGAAAGTGCTCTCAATCTCGCCCTCAAATTTCGCTGCGCTTGAGTGGTTCTCGGCAGTAGGAACCCAATTCCTGTGGAGTTTGTTTCAGATCTGAGGGTCTTCCGAGACCGGTGTGTCGACCCCCCACTGGCACTCCATCTGCCAGGTGGTCCAGGAAGCGGGCGTCCGGGTCCTCTGCAATGTCCGCCAGTCCCTTGACAATGTGTAGGTGCAGCAAATCGGCCCACTCTCCTGGGTAGGTGTCTGCCTAGTTGATGGGGTAGTACACGTTTGCCTCCATCTCCAAGAATTCTCAAGCGGTGTCTCAGGGTCACCGCCAACCCGTCCACCTGGAGATCCGGTTGAATGTTGCGCTTGGCTGTGTCCACATGATCGGGTGTTTCGACAGAATGGAGGAGTCGTTCTGGTCAGTTTTGCTGAGGCCAGGCCTGCTGGCCCTTGCGTCCTTGAACCACTCCTAGCATTCCTTTCTTTGGCCTATGCCAAAGGATCGACCAAGTCCTGCAGTTTGGCCCCCCCACAATCGCCATAAGTTTGCCTTCCATCATCTCCATCAGGGGTCCAAAGACCTCATCACGTAGATCACGTAGGACATCATGGTTGACCTGCAGGTGTCTAGTTCCAATATGTACCCACCAAGATGCGGAGCCACATGGCGAATGGCTGCCCTGGTGCTGCTGTCGTCATCCTCACCCGCGTAAAGGATGAGCACCACCAGGAAACCTGGGCGGAGATAGCAGCCGATGTAGGAGTCTTGGTGCATGTAAAATGTCTTGCCAGGTCAGGAGGGTCCGCCCTCCATGCATTTGAACGGTGGCCGAGCTTGATCAGGGAGACACGGATACAACTCGGGGTTCTCGTTGGATCCTTCCGGTGGTCCTTTCTGCAGATTTGTGGGGTCTGAGACACAGCGCTCGAGGCAGCTGCGCCCTCCACTCTGCATATTGCTCGTGGTGAGAGGTAGAGTAAAATGCGACTTGTTGAGATTTGGGAGCATCACCAGTCACTCGTGATCCACCGCCCGGCGGTTCTTCTCACACGCCTTGCCCGATGGAAGGAGTACCGGGCAATTGTGGCACCTCCCACAATTAATTCCCTGGGCACTTGTTTAAAGGCGTGGTGTTTCTTGCAAAACTGAGGAAATCTCCGCCCATTCTGGTGAAGGACCGGGGGTCTGTCCCCTTTTCTTGGCACCCCCCCGGAGATGCGAACCAGTTGGAACTTCCATGGCCTTTTGCGGAATTGCCTTTCCAGGGCTTCTGATTACCGCCCGCGAACTTACCCCCAAAGGCCAACCTTCCCCAAAAGCCAGGGGTCTTAGAAGGGAAACAAAGAAGGGGGGGGGAAGCCGCACACCCCCTTGCTTTTCAAAAAGGCCAGTCCGGGTTCTGCATAGACTCCCTGGATTCTCACCGCAGCTCAGAAGGTCTCACACCACCACGCAGCGCCATGCGCCAAGGGATTCGCTCCACAGGGCTGGAAGCAGCTGTGCCACGGCTGGTTACTTACTCATCCGTCCACCATGGGGGGCCACCACCGGCTCCTGAGATACCTCCAGCTCCTGCCTTTCCCCTGAACTTGCAAAATCCAGCGCTCCCTTGCATCCGTGGGTGGGTGGGTGGCAATGGTCTGAAGCACCGTCCCCGTCGAAGATCTCCAGCAGCCCAGCCGGGGCATCCCGCCCCCATTCCGTCCTGCATAGGGTGCAGGCATACCTGTTCTTGGCTCTCTTCTTCGTGGACCTGTGCGCGCAGTCGAAGCCGGACGGGAGTACCGCGCCACTCGTTGGGCTTGTTCCTGTAGTGAGGGAATTGTACCAGCGGTAGCACTGGAAGGCCACCGCCCACTTGTGCTTTGCGGAGAAGAAGCCCGTGGCAGGGATTCAATGGGTAGGGTGACCCTAGGGTCGTGCTCCGCCCTCGTCCTCAGTCGCTCTGGCAAATCCACGACCGCGGCGGGTGTTCCGTCGGTCCTTCATCGCCCTCTAGCTGAACCGCTGGCTTGGGGTCAATGCCCCCCTCCTCCTTGGCATCCGCCATGGTGGCGTGGATATTGGCCATGTCCGGGCCTTCTTCCCCCGGCACCTGCGGGTCGTCCAGCGAGTGTGAGGTATACCTGGTGGTCGAGAGGTCCGATGCCCAGAGCAGGCCTTCAGCGGCCAGCTTCTTCATGTTGTCCACCAGCACGTCGTTGTCCTCGCCGCCTAGGGTGGGTCGGCGCCTTCCGCGCCAGTGAGCTGCACAGCCGGAGATTGGGGTAACCTCGATTCCATCTGGGTCTGCTTCACCCCATACTGGAATTGGAACTCCTCCTGGAAGTTCTTTGGCTGCGTTTCCCAAACATCTGCCAGCCTTTGCCGTCCGGGCTGGGGGAGTGTAGCGTGCTTCGCGGAAGCACCGTGTTCCTGCAAAGCAAGCACTTCACCCTGTGATCATTCTTGAAGCGGGCCCCGCAGCTTGGGGGTTCCGCAAATGTGGGGGCCTGGAAAGCGTCTGCCGCCTCCTTGAACGGGGTGCCAAAACCACTCTGCAACTTCGCTGACTGAATCCGCTGTCGCAAGTGGCCCTGCAGGTTCTTGAGGTACTCCTCCACATTCACACCGTCTCCCTGCCAGGCTTTGCTGACCTTGCAGATTTGGGGGAGACACCTGAGAATGCCTGCCGTATCGCCGTCAAACAACTTGGTCGGGAAGTCATTCGGCTCCACCAAGCGGTAGAGCCCCTTCTTCGCGTCATGCGCTTGCACCACACACATGTCCGTGTCCTGGAGGTCTTGTTCCGTCAGGCTCGGGACCCGGCAGAGGATCGGCACTAAGCCGCATTGGCGCGCATCGGGGTCTGCTCGGACCAGTACGTCAGCACCATCCCAGTTGGAGCGGATCAGGACTTCTTTTTTTTGAGGGCATTTCTGGGCCACCTCCGCCGTGAGTTCCAGGCCTGTGAGCGTGTTGACGGGGTCCTCCTTCAGTCCGTGCCAGCGGACCACCGCCTGAAGTAGATACAGCGCTTGACGCAGCCGTCCGGACTCCAGGTTCCTCCTTAGTGCCCAGTGTGGTCGACTCCACCGGCAAGTCCTTGAGGTCCTCCGGGAGGGATTCAGCGCTTAGAGCAGCCGTCCCTGCCCTAAGGCCACCTAGCTCAGCTGCATCCGACTCCGCATCAACCTCCATGGCTGTAAGACCATACACTGTTGGGCAGACTCCGCCTTCACCGCTTCCGCATCTGCCTCTCTACGAGCATCATGCCTGGCGTCAGCCATCGCGTCCGCAGCCTCTTTCATGGTGAAAACAAAGGCAAAACCGAGGTTTATCGGGAAGTCAGGGACTTGAGCCAAAATGGCCCCGAGAAAGACGATCAACCCAACCGAGTGCCAGCAAGGTCGAGAGAGTTAACAGCAGTTAGCACTATAACATCCCAGTTTTCTCAAAACAAGTTTGGACAACATAAGAAAAGTTAGGGGTTTCCGCAGTCGGCCAGTTTGCTTCCGATTCTCCACTCAGAACCAGGGTCGACCGACCCACGCGGGCAAAGTTACTAGGGCTCCCCTGGATCAGGGGCTGAGGTAGACGTCAGCGAGCCAGGGCCGAGACTCTTGTGTCGAGATGTTGCCCAGGTTCACAAGAGACCTGTTGTCCAGAGACCTGCAAGCGACAGGCACGGACTCGGCTCTTGAGATTCGCGTAAGGCAACCATCCTGAGGTATACTGACGAATGATCTTGGGTGCCTGCTGAAATACCTGTCCTGGTAGCGTTTGCTTTTTGGGACCTGAACACTTCCCACAGTTCCGTACATTCACAAAGTTATCTCTCCTCACACTTCCCACAGTTCCGTACATTCACAAAGTTGTCTCTCCTCACACTTCCCAGAGTTGCATACATTCATTAGCAAGCATAACTTGCTGGTTCTCTAGATTCTCGGGAAATGAGAGAATCACCCCGGTAACCATCCCTTATGGCTTCCCAGCGAATCCCCAGGCTTCCCAAAACCCGCGATTCCCTGAGAACCAGCGAGCCCGCCTTCGCAAGGAGCCAACGCAAGCTGAGCGGCCCAAGTCCTATCGCTGCCAATGGCTGGCGCTGGCCTCGTTTGTTAATGATGCTGTGCCAATTTGTACTAACCTCCATCATTCCTCTCGGCTTCTTGGCTTCTGAGCCAAAAGACAGTGGGTCGCAAAAACTATGTCCCCTCAGCAAACGGAATGCTCCAGTCCTGCCAGTCTCCGCTCAGGCGCGTGAGCTCCTGAAGCTAGGCAGTGCCAAAGCAAGAGAGCCGAGGCAAGTGCTAGGTCGATGAAAGTGAACTTTGTTAGTCGGTTGCAACCATGGTTGCAAGTGGACTACCGATTATCAGGGTCGGTTCCCTTATGGTTAGAACCTAAGAACCTACTTGTAGCTGGGTCACTTAAAGTGAACATCTTCAGGCGCTTTCGAATTTACTTTTAGGGTGGCTTCCCTTTAAGCAACGATTTAGAGGCAGGGAGTAATTTTGAGGATGTCTTGGTTCGCTGGGAGTTTTTTTTACGTTTACCAGGTGTTGTAGCTTGATGTTCTTGTTTCGCTTGCATCCAAGGGAATCCGTACCCATCGGGCCCCGAGTTGCTCAAGCTTGCGCCGAGCGGCGCTGCTGAGGAGCTGATGCACCTCCCGTGCCTCCCGTGCCGCAGCCTGCCAACTGCTAGACTCGGGCGGTTTCCCCTTCCCGGTTAAACAGCCCCCATCTCCAACCCCTAGGGTTCAACCCCGACTAAAGAAAGGTTGAGCCAACTTGGATGATGACAATCCTTAGGAAAACAATGGTGGTTGTATTGCCCCCCATTGTGTCAATGGTGGTTTGAACTGCAGGGCAACTGGGAGAACTCCCTCAAATTCCAGTGTTTCCCACCCAGTACCTCCAAAGAACTAAAACGAGACTCACCAGGAGCCGGGATCCCACCTTGGTTGAGCCACAAACCCGCTCACGCGGACCTGACCCAAACAAATGCCCTGCATGTTGGTGTTGCATTTCCAGCCCAGTGGCCTTGGCAAAACAGGAAACCCTGTCTCGGGTTGACCACTGGCAGGGAACATATGCCAAACAAAAAGGGAAGATGGATGTCACATGACGTCACGGAAGAAAACTGTTTGTTGTGGGCGCAACCTGCCGCGTTGCTTTGTCACACGGAGACGCGGCTGCCTCCACCTTCTCAGAGTCCGCGGATGCCCGCGCCAGCTCCAGCAGCTTCTCTGACACGGTCTGCACCTCCTCAGCCTCAAAATTCCGACTCGTGATCGGCAGATGTGTTTCTTGGGGGGGGAACTTGCGTCGGGCGCACCCCCTTTGCTGAGTATTAAAAAGAAAACACTGGACCGAAGCCGTTTAAACCAAAGGGAACCAACAAGAGGGCTTCATGTTGCCACGAGGCTGAAAGCCAAGCTGGCCTTCTGGCAAGACACCTCTTCGACACGAGCTGCGCAAATTTTCACCTGGGAAGCCCTGCCATTGAGCCCAGTAACCGGAGTTGCTCCTGGCCTCAGGTCTCAAGTTTCGAAAACAGAAAGGCGAAACGCAAGCCCAAAAGGGCAAAAAGGAGCCGGAAGGTCTGGCAGTGGACTGCTCAAAACGAGCTCTTCAAAATCTGGAGGTCTCTAAATGCGCGACACATAAGGGGTGCCCGAAGCACGTTACCGTGACCCTAAAACTAGCCCAAAAATACAAGCCGCATTTCAAATCAGAAGTGGTTCATGCTCAGCCCGGGACTCTTGCTTCGCCCCGACCTAAGCGCCAGCACGTTCTTTGGCTTCTGGTGCGAATTGGAGGGGACCACGAAACGTGCTTTTGGAGGCAACCTTTGAAGCACCATCCTTGGCAACCATCTAAACACTGAAGGCCAAAATGGCAAATATGGCTTGCTCGACAGTAGCCAGCTCGAGCACGCTGACGGGCAGACATGACACCGATCACTCACGTGCAACTGACAAGTTTCCACTGCAGGCAGGCAGCAACGAACTCAACATACAGCAACCAGAAGCCTATCCTGGATATCCGTGCATCACACAACCTGGGAACCTGTCCATGTACATTCCTGACAAGTCTGCCGGTTCGCCCCATGAATTAACCCACACTGAAACATCTGAGAACCCATCAGGAACTCGGGGCTGTCCTGCGAAGGGTGCGTGCATTGTCAAGCTCTGCCTTGCGGCGGCACTGGTTTGAAGAAAAAGACAGCCTGCACCTCCGCCTCACCTGTCCCTCTCGTTCTGCCATCAAAGAAACACAAACATATTGCTAGCTTCCGAGGTGCATAGGAACAAGCTGAACAAGCGGGAGAAAACAATTGCATCAGGTTCAAGTGAAACAGCTTGCACTTCCTGGAAACACAGACCAAAGGGAACATGTAGCGTGTGACAAACGCAGGCACGAACACAATCACAACACCAGCATGTCACAAACATATAAGCGTCTGCTGTTGTCTGGCTTCGTGTCACCTAGACCGGCGCAAAGCTCATAATCCGTCGAATCAAATTCCGTGTCGAATTTGGGTAAGCATCCAAGGTGCTTCGCCCAATCATGAGCTCTGCTGAACCGGGATGTGTCCGTCTTCGATCTGAAGCGAAGAAAATGAGTTGAGCTTATGGATTGCCATGAAAACAACTATTGACTTCCATCCTTGGCTGCCAACACAGTTGCGAGGTTTGTTCCAAGGCCCTTTCGCACATATTCGCAGGGGTCAAGTTCTCACCATCATCTACGGTCAAGGGAATTGCCACCAGGAAATAGAGGGACTCACCAAAAACATCCAAAAACCTATCGGCAGGTAGAAAAAATATTGATGTCTTACATGGGTGGACCTCCCAAAAGGGGTGGGTTTCAAAGGGAACCAAAAAGGTTGGTGACCTTTTTGCTTGGATCCTTCTAAGGAGACACTTTTGGCCTTAGAGACCCAAAGGAAGCAGAGTCCTGCGAAGAAGCGCTGGCTGTGTCGTCCATGGCTTGAGTTGATCCTAGGGTTAGCTAAGTGGCCCTCCCAAAAGCCAGAGAAACGGACGGCCAATCGCGCTGGCCAGGCTAGCCACTTGTAGTCAAAAGCTTCGTTGAAAAAATATCCGGACTGCCGCCTCAGCCCTGATTTGAGGACCGGAAACGAGAACGTCTGACAAAGGATGGTGAAGACAACCTCAGGCCGCTCAAACCTCCAATTCTGGCGAGCTGAAAAGCTGAGCCGGGAGGTGCAGCGAGAGCTTCTTCCAGCAACAGGACGGTGCCCTAGATGTAGCCCTTTCCGAATGGCAAAAGTGTTGGAATCCATGTCTATTGAAATCCACTCGTGAAGCTTGGGCTTCCTTCAAGTAAGGAAAACAATCAAAACAAGGTCTGGCACTAAACAAGCGACCTGGGCATTGCCAGCCCAAGGTTGACTTTCATTTAGTGGCTGGTGCAAGCAGCCTCAAGGGTCGATGTACATTTGCCTTGAGACTCAACCGTGGTTCCCATATCAAATACTCGAAAGGTGCGCGGTCCCAACATGCAGCTGGGAATTGGCATTGATTCACTAGCATCCAACCTGAGCACCGGTTCATGCACTGACCCGTTTGACAGCTCATGAAAACAGTGTGTGTGTGTGTGAAAGCAGCTACATCAGCCATAGCACGCCTTGCACTTTGCGCCCACTCCAGAACCCCATCCAGCCCACATCTCCCCGCCTACGTCCTTGCCTGTCGCCAGGGGGCTGCAATCGATCATTTCATGTCGGCTGCAACTCCCCAATAAGAAGGCCAAGTTTGTACTGAGGCCTGCAAACGCAGCAACACCCAGCACGCCGCCCATTTAGCGGACAAGAGCCCGCTGGCTCTCATACTCTCATCAGCTTTTGGCGTTTCTACCAAACGTTAGTTAACTTTGTTGTGCTGTTTGGAGGGCCCTTGTTGGAATTGGTTTACGGCAACCCAAGGAAAACCAATCACCTTGGGAGGCTTCCATTTTTTGAGAGACACCCGTTTTCTACCGAGGGCTGTGGTCAGAACAAAAAAACGAGGCGATGATTAGTCGCTCAATGTCTCTTCGGCCTGGCCCAGCAATTGGCCTCTGCTTCATTAGCTCCCGACAAATGGCCCCTTAGATTGCTTGGAAACTCCCAGAGAAAGAGCTCCTCCAACCGCAGCGAACATTGAAGGGACCACAAGCGAACATGACTTTCACAATTACAAGCAAACAAAACCCTTGCAAAGGAAATTAAAGGGCCTCACGAAAAATCCTTGTGCCATGGTGAAAAACTTCTTCTGTGGGTCTTCTTCATGTTTTTCTCAGCCTGCAAGCCCCACTTGCTCATGGCATACCCCTTTGAAAATCAGGCCAGAGCATTCCCACGCTCTCCGTTCACATCTTCAGCAGGTTCAGGACAAAGTTCGCCAGCATGCAAGTCGACCTTGGCAAGACGCTGCAAAATGCCTTCCCGTAGCGTGATGCGGCGTCCACATCTGCTTTGAAGCGTGGATGCCAACCTGGGCCATGCCTCCACGCCGGCCTTGGCTTGAGCTGTATCGTTGGTGGCCACGTTCAGCAACAGCTGCAGCGCGGCGCAGCGAACACCTCGTTCCTCTGAGAGGTCGAACCAAAGGTCCAAGCCTGAGCAAAGCGGTGCGGAGAAAGGTCGCCTGGTGCCAGCATCACCGGAAGGTGTGCCGGTCAGCAGCGCTGCGCTCCTGGAACACAATCGCAGAGAGGCAATGAAGTTCATGGCTGCAGTCAGCTTCCGGGTTCGCCAATGATCGCTAGCTGGCCCCTTTGCGAGCCGCAGCAAAACTTCCATGATCTGACCCAAGTACCGAACGAGAACCTGCTTCCCTGCCAGAACTCCACTGCAAAGGCATAAAGTGTCCATCACGCGGCAGAAGGCGGCGCTGGATAGCTCACGCTTGAGGCTGAGGCGCATGAGCCAACTGAGAAGCTCAGACTGGAGCAGTTCTGCCTGCACCTCCTCTGCAGATGCTAGGTACGGCAACTGCTCCAAGAACTCCAGGCAAACTGCTTCGTCCCTGTCAGCAGCCGCTCGCAGGGTAAGCAGCGCTGATGACAGCAGTCCAGCGCTCAGGGCTCCTTCCAGAGCGACAAGAGAGGAGCACATCATGGAGAAGAAAACCCGCATGACCCACACCAGCTGCTGCTGCTTCTTTAATCGTGTCATGAGGCTGCACAGCTCCTCCAACTTCCTGAGCCCTGCTTCGGCGGCGGCAGCTGAGGCCGCAAAAAGGTTTGCTGCGCTGACGCATTCAGCCACTGCGCCGTCACTTGCCAATCTCAAAAGCCGCGCCATGACCCTTCTCCCCAATGTCGCATCGCTGGCATAGATGTCCTTCCGCGCGCCGCTCATGCGCCGCGCGGCCCAAACTGCTACAGCTGCAGTGGCCACTTGCTGTGTCTCTGGAGGCATCTCAGCATCCAACGCTCTGCCAAGAGCCGCTCCAACTGGCGGGCTGCAAAGGAAATGGTCCAAAGGTGACAAAGGAATGTCCTCTTGGGGCTGCAGCTCAATGAAATGCCGCAGGCAGGCCATCTGCGCCAGTAGCAGCCGGCCAACCCGTTCCCCGGAACTTGCTTCCAGCACTTGCAGGGCTTCCGCCCAGCGCTCCAGGAAAGGTGTAGTGCTGCAAATCCAAAACAAGAGCTGCCCATCTTCGCCAGTGCCTTGCTTCAGCAAAACAACCAGGTCTGTTGTCAAGCTGCACACGTCCAGGCACGCCTTCGAGCGCGGAACCGCAGCCACTGCCAAGGTCCACAGGCCAGCCTTGAAGATGTTGGGCGCAGCTTGCTGGTAGTCGGCCGCCAGGAGAGCACCAAGCAGGCGCAAAGCAGCTCGGCGCAGTCCCAGATCTTCGACTGCCAGGCACTTGGCCACCAATCCATCGCTCCTCATGATCCCAGACTCGAAGGTCTGCCGGCAGGCCTCGTTTCCTGTGGCCTCCACGCTGCAGCGCAAGACTTCAAGCACCTCTGCCACTAGAAATGCCTCAGAGCCCTCATCCAAAGCCCGCAAAGCACGGAGAGCGCGCTGCACGCAGGCATTGCGCTGGCGCAAATCCTCCTCCTTCTCCTTTCTGAAGAGCAAACGACGCAAACACCGCCAGGCAGAAGCCTGGACCACTGCGTCCACGTGCTGGAGGTATGGTGTGACATAGGCCACCGCTGCTGGGTCGAGGTCTGCTGCCAGCCACACCGCCGCCCGCAGCTCGCCGCTGCGGCGCCAGGAAACGCCGCCTCGGGCCAAGTGCTCGAGCAAGGCCTCTTCGAAGCCGTCAGTGCCTCGACAGTCGCCGCCCAGCGCCAGCGTCAGGGCCAGGCGAGGCAAAGGCGCTGGAGCCAGCATCAGAGTGCTGAGCAACGGCCCGTCCTCCGGCATGCCCAGCTGCAGCGCCAAAGAGATCCGCAGTAAAAGCTCGGCAGCGCGGCG